ACGCTCTTCCGATCTGGGTTTGGGGTTTAGGGTTTAGGGTATAGGGTTTAGGGTTTAGGGTTTAGGGTTTAGGGTTTAGGATACAGGGGATAGTGAAATAAGCTCAAGGTCCCTAAAACATTCCTACTACTAGTGGGTCGCCGTGCGCGGGGGGCATACCCAAACCATATCGTTCTCAGCTACTGGGCATGATGATGTGGCACAAGCACATCGCCTTTGGAACCCCTAAACCCCCCTAAACCCTANNCTAAACCCCTAAACCCTAAGCCCCGAGTCCCTAAAGACCGGAAGGCCTATCGGTCTCCAAAGTGGATAGCAACACCCTAACTAAACCCTAAATCCTAAACCCTAGACCCTAAACCTCTAAGCCGAAAAAAACAAGCACGTCAGACTCAGGTCTGGCGCACGGCCTCAGGCACATCTGATCGACTTCAAGACTTTCCTGCCAGACTCGCCGGCTGCATTTCGAGGTTTTGTTGGGTGTGGGGCCTTTGGATGGTTTAGGGTTTGGGGTGTTTCTTTTGAGGAGAGGGGGTTTGGGTTTTGAACTCGTTTTGATGCTTGACTTTTTGTTTAGGGTTCTTGGCTTCCGGTTGCCACTGCTGGGTCGGCTTCGGCTATTCGGGTTGTTAGTCTTGTTTCTACTCTTAGGCTTTTTCTGTGTAGGGTAGGATAGGAACGTTCAGGGCTTAGCCTCCTGCTCGACTTTACATTTCTTCTTGGGGCATGTACCTTAGCACTTTTGGCTTCCAAAGGGCCCTCACACACGGCTGCACCTCTTCCGCCTCCACAGTTCGTGTGTTCCTGTATTGCTGTCATCCCGACTGAAGCAAGATGATGAGCAGAGTGCGGTCGATCTAAGGAAAAGACCATCAAGCAGTTGGAGCAGTGGTTCTCGTTGAACGACATGGACGACTCCGGGAAAATCTCCATTGATGATGCCCTGCGATTTGCCACCAGTAATTCTAGCTAGACCCCCAAGCCCAAAACACAAGGGAGCAGTTCTTCTCTCGAGCCTTGAAGGTTGTATCTGGAAATTTCAGAAAACTGCAAAAGGAGGTGATGCGTAGTGTAATGCAAAAAACCAGTGGCTGAGCGCTGGCCTCGTATGGCGGTAAGTATGAATGAGGCTCGTGATTTTGCTTTCGGGATCCTGCTTTCTATAGGGGCCGTATTGATTACAGTGGGGGGTTGAGGATGTTTGAGGGATTCTTATCGAAAAACTTTCTAATAGCTCAACCCTAAACCCTAAACCCTAAACCCTAAACCCTAAACCCAAACCCTAAACCCTAAACCCTAAACCGTAAACTCTTAAGCGTGACATGATCGTCTGTGGCTCCGAGGCGCAACTTTCCGGGACTGCTTTTGGAAAAGTCATAGCTGAGGGCAGCCTGGGTTGCCTTAAAAAGCGGGTTTAGGGTTTAGGGTTTAGGGTTTAGGGTTTAGGGGTTTAGGGTTTAGGGTTTAGGGTTTAGGGTTTATCTCAAGGAACCTAGATTTGAACTAACTGCTGTAATCCTTATAGTAACCCTCCTGGTCCTTTGAGAACCTGTATAGTACCCTTTATGGTATTATGACTTGTCCAGGCTTCCTCACCGGGATTCCTAGGCCCCAAGATCAGAGCTCGAGCTGCTTGCAGCTTAATATAAGGGCCTAAATTAATTTGGTGGCTCCTTAGGAAAATTATAGTATAATGGCCCCCAAACCCTATTCTAATTATTAAAGCCCCTTTATTAAACTTCGAGGTTCAAGATGACATGTACTGATAATGCTAGCACTACAGTATGGGTATGCTTGTTGCTGCTATTATGTTTTTAATGTTGGAGCTCGGTAATGACAACGAGTAGTCATCTTTCTTGTTTAGGTGTTGTTGTTGTTGCTATTGTTTCATTATTCAGGTGTGTTCAACACTCCCGGTGAATCTTCCAAGTGATCCGATGCCCAAGTCGCTTCAACTCATGATTCTTATGCGAAGTCTTTATACTCGGCTCGGACTTCAGACTATCCTTCGCAAGGTCCTGGGAACTTAAGTTACCAGGATAATTCCAAAGGCATCCCTAATAATGTGATTTACTATAGACCCCTATTACCCGAATATGGCAACTTCCATTAAGTCTCAGTCTGACTTCCGCAGCAGCCCTACGACATAGTTTCGGCATCGGGTATAATATACGATGAGCCTGGGGCTGCCAGTGCCCGCACTCGACATCCGAATTCCAAGAAAGGGGTTGCAGGCCATAGGGGTCTGAAATACTAGTAATATCCCCTTGCATACCCGGAATAAATTTGAGATGTACGACTCTATACGATCTACTCACGCACTCTACTTGACTTGAGACTTGCGACAACTCTTCAAGAGTACGTCATATGCGACATGCGGAAGCGGCTAGACGAAGCTTTCACTCGTTGAGGAAAATTGCGGAGCAGCAGGACGTCAAGGTTTCAATGGATGATGTCACGGCCCTCCTGTACCTGGGCTTGGGAATCACGGTTGAGGGCTCGCTACCCTAAACCCCTCAACTTATTGCCATGCCTGCTTGGCGAGTGTGTGAGTCGAAACCCCTCAACTCTAAACCCCTAAACCTCAAACCCCAAAACTCTAAACCCCTAAACCCTAATCCGCCAAACTCTAAACCCGAACACCCACTCAAACCTCGGGATCACACGAGGGAGTTCTACCTTAACCTACCAAAACCTACTTTTTTGTAGGTTCTTATTATACGCCCTAATATGTGATTTTTAAGGACCCTACAAAAAAAGTAGGTTCCCCTAAAACCTAAAACCCCAACCCTTATTCTTAAACCCTAAACCCTAAACCCTTTGTGGTAGGTTAAGTCTCAGCAACCCCACGGACGGGTTCGAGTTTTGCCGGTTTCGGGCGTGGCAAGTTTTGGTTTTAGGGTTAAGGGTTTGGGGTTTAAGGTTTTAGTTTAGGGTTTAGGGTGTTAGGGTTTAGGGTTTTAGGGTTTAGGGTTTTAGGGTTTTAGGGTTTTAGGGTTTAAGCAGCTGTCCCCCTGAAGCCACTCTGAGCAGATGGCCGCATGTGCAGCTCAAGCTTGGAAGCATTCCGAGCCCTTCCCCTCCGACACCTAAGAATGTTTCAGCTCGCGATCCTTCTAATGTCGGGGCCTTAATAATTAGAATAGGGGTTGTGGGTATATTATACTATAGTTATAGTAAGGAACCCCCAAAATAGTATAGGTAATTCTTAAGACCCCTATATTAGGTCGTAGGCCTAGGCCCCTTTTAAGCATCCTCAACCCTAAACCGCTTAATGCCTGAAGCTCCAGGTCGGAGGTGAAATCTGCAGCCGACGGCTGGTTGGACTTGCCTTCCTTCTGCGCGCTCTGGACATGCATGACAAATGCCCAGAAGATCATCAACTATCGCGAGCGACTTGCCTCCCTTCGTTGCGGGATTCGGGTTATCGACGTATCTAGGATGGGACTTTTCTCAGTAATGTAGGATCCTGATTATTACATGCTAAGAACCCTAAGTTGTTTTCTGTGCCCCGGGCAAATCCATGGAGTCCCGAAGCAAAAAAAACCCTCATAAAGACCCAGGGTTTCTTAATCAGGTTAAGAACCCTAATAAAGGCCCAGGGTTTCTTAATCAGGTTAAGAACCCTAATAAAGACCCAGGGTTTCTTAATCAGGTTAAGAACCCTAATAAAGGCCCAGGGTTTCTTAATCAGGTTCCTAGATTACCCTGGTTTCCTTTAAGACACTTGACGAGCAGAGGGGAGGTTTCCAAAACCCTAAAGCCTGACCTAAGGGCCTAAATAATTACCTATACTATTCTGGGTTTAGGGTTTAGGGTTTAGGGTTTAGGGTTTAGGGTTTAGGATTGGATAGTATACTGGGCCCCAAACCGGGCTTCTGTGAGTCTCTGCAGACGAAAGAGGCTCTCAGAGGGAACGTCGGGTCCAACGACCGCCTTCGGCCACACCACACAGCATGTTCCCCGCGTGATGCTTTACAGGCCTGAAACTTTCCTTGATATAGATATGCTAGAAGGCATCTATAAATAAAACCCTTTTTCAATTTATCCAGGTCCTTGATATAGGTATTATAGAACCCATCTACATTAACACCCCTCTTTCAAAGTCTCAAGGCCAACCCCTTTTTAAAGGTGAACCTTTTTTGGGCTAAGGTACTCAGCCCCTAAGAAACCTTTTTGCAATTATCAAGGCCTTCTAAACCGTAAACCCTAAACCCTAAACCCTAAACCCTAAACCCTAAACCCTAAAACCCTTAACCCTAAACCCTAAACCCTTTTGCAATTATCAAGGCCTTCTAAGAATCAAGGCCCCGATTTTTACAGTGCGGCACCCAGCCTGGAGCCAAGGAGAGCTCACGTGCAGCTAGAGACTTCAAACAAGGTTTAGGTTTTAGGGTTTTGGGTTTAGGTTTTAGGGTTTAGGTTTTAGGGTTTGAGTTTAGGGTTTAGGTTTTAGGGTTTGGGGTTTGAGTTTAGGTTTTAGGTTTTAGGGTTTTGAGTTTAGGTTTTAGGGTTTAGGGTTTTGAGTTTAGGTTTTAGGGTTTGGGGTTTTGAGTTTAGGTTTTAGGTTTTAGGGTTTTGGGTTTAGGTTTTAGGTTTTAGGGTTTTGGGTTTAGGTTGTAGGTTTTTGGGTTTAGGTTTTAGGGCTTAGGTTTCAGGTTTTAGGGTTTTGGGGCTCCCTGAAACTGTTTTTGTTGGGGGCTCTTTGAGGTTTTGGCTTTAAGGCTCAAGGGTTGAGAGGCACTCAGTATCTTAAGGATCCGTCTCCTTGGGCTTCATATTCCGGCCCTTCCTTTTCTCAAAGCAAAGAGGAAATAAATACTTTCAAGCAGGGACTTGGTCGGCAGAAGCGTGGAAGTCCTAAACCCCGAACTTATAAACCAAAAACCTAAACCCCTGAAGCCCTGCCTGGCTGGACTGTCCGAGTGTGAGCGCCGAAACCCCTAGACCGTGGAAGTGCCCAACCTGAAATGCTGCGTTTCAGTCGGTTCTTGACCCTTGAACCACCATCGTGGAGAGTCCAGACTCCGAAATTGGGGACTTAATAATTAGAACAGGGCTTTGAGTGTATGTTCTATTATGATTGAACTAAGGAACCCCCAAAAAGGTATTGGTAACTGTTTAGACTAAAGTTTAGACCCCTACGTTAGACCCTGCGGGTCCTGAAGGTATCTTGAAGCCGAGGAGGTCGCTGCTTACAGGGCCATGTTCCAGGACATGTGTGGATTGGATTTCGGGGGGTTTAGGGCTTTACGTGGGAGTTTATGGGGATAGGGTTTAGGGGCTTTGGGTTTAGGAGGATAGACGATCCGCTGTCAGGTTTGAGTTGCTTCTTCTGCTCTCTCAAGGCCTACGCAACATCTCAGTTCTTTCAAAGGTAGTGGGGAAGCCCAATAAGCTTAGCTTGGTGAAGCTTTCCAAATACAGCCTGTGGCCTTTCTCAGAAGTGTAAACCTGATGGGTTTGCATGTTTGACTTGCACGGAATCTTTGCACCGATGGAGACATGATCAAGCAGCTACATCACTTGGGTTTGCATCACTGGTCGAGCTGATGTCGTCAATGCCAATGTTCATGCTCATGCGAAGACCTCAGGTAGCTCGGGGTGATTTTCGGATCACCTCGGCTGACCCCATACTGCTCATGGACCGTTTGTCGGTTTAGGCCTGTGGCTCGTTTATGGTTTAGGCCTGCAGCTCGTTTATGTCTCTGGCCTCGCCTGGGAAGGCTGTCTTAGGGCACCGTCATTGGGCGAGTTAGGTTAATATAGGAGCCTAAATAATTGCCTATACTATTTTGGGTGTTCCCTATTATAATTATGGTAAAATGGGCCCCAAAACCCTATTCTTATTACTAAGGCACCTATATTAGCCCTAAACCCTAAACCCCAGACCCTAAACCCTAAACCCAATTACTAAGGCCCCTATATTGGGGCTTCAGGTTGGGACCTCACAGCTTAAGTCCGGAAATCGCAATGCAGCCAAAGGAGAGGAAACATGGGCACATGAGGCCACTCGAGACTCGAATCTTCTTCCGGGCCTATTCCGAGCTTCTTCCGGACCTTAACTCTAGTGGCAACCCTGACCCAAACCCTAAATAAATCCTAAACCCTAAACCCTGGATTGTCCGAGTGTGAGTGCCGAAACCCTCAACCCTAAAATCCTAAACCCTAACTGAAACCCTGAAACCCTAAAATCCTAAACCCGAAAAGTAAGACTTTACCGCCCGCCCTGAAGGAAGCTTGCGAGGGCGGCAAGGAAGAGTTGAACCGGAAGCAGGCATGCGGGTTGATGATATAAATCCCGCATTTCCCATAATACCATACTTCCCATAAGTTTAGAGTTTAGGGTTTAGGGTTTAGGGAAGAAGGAATATACCATAATTCCCTTAGTTTAGGGTCCTGGCCATCGAGGATTGATATCATCAACAGTAGGACCCCTGATGGAGAGCATGGGGGCCCCCTGTAAGCACGGAAGAGCTTCTTCAATTATAGAGAGGTCAGAGATCCTTGACATGATTTAAGACTAGGACATACTCAGAAACTTAAAAACCCCAAACCACCAAACTCCCAAATTCCTAAAATTTAAAGGTTCTGAATTCAAAGGCCTCGTCCGAGTTTCAGAAGATAGTGTCGTACCAAGTTGTGCCTGAAGCTAAAACCTAAACCCTAAACCCTAAACCGTAAACCCTAAACCGGAGCCGCAAAGTGATGCAGATCGAGCCGGGCAGTAAGGGCAGCAGTCGGGTCCCTTGCGAA